TAAAGGGGAAAGGTTGCCTACCCCTGTGCTAGATGGATGGACTCTATTGAGGTCATGGGTATGGAGTGCTCGGAATTAAGCAGAGCAGTGGAAGGTCTTGGAGATGTCTTATCCATAGGGCTGCCATGAGTCGAGATTGACTCGAAGGCAGTTAACAACAACAAAATCACTACTAACACCATGTAACCCTTAAAAAGTGACTTTATTGAGTCTACATTAGTTCAGTTTTCCTCTATTACCTCAGTAATCTTGACTAACTCCAGTTACACAGGCTTCTTATGTGGGGAGAGCCAGTGTCTTCTTATGTGGGGAGAGCCAGTGTGGTGTAGTGGTTTGAGTGATGGACTATGACTCTGGAGTTCAGGGTTCAATTCCTAGCTCAAGCTTTAAAAAATCCCACTGGGTGACCTTGGCCAAGTCACACTCTCCCAGACTCAGAGGATGGTAATGGCAAACCCCCTCTGGAGAAACTTGCCACGAAAGCCCTATGATAGGGTCTCCATAAGTAAAAAATGACTCGGAGGCACTCAACAACAACGTCTTACCTGGAGCCCAATTTATGGCATGTGAAAGGAAATATGGAGCAGAGAAGCCACCATATTCTTCTTTGGCAGTACAAGGTTCTCTTTCTCCTTCTGTGGCACATGGTTCTGCCCCACCTCCTCACTTCCAAGATGACCAAACAGGAGCTGATTTGGGCTGATGTCTGAACCTGATATCTTGTGTTGCAACAAGGTTTTAGCACAGTTGTGGGAATTACATGGTGTTTTACTTGTTAAGTAAAAGGTAATGTCTAGTTGTAACCAACTGTAGGGGGTGGTGCTCATGTTTGTTACTAAACCAAAGAGTCAGCATTGTCTGACGATGACTCAGGTGGTCACGTGGCCAGCATGACTGCACCAAATATTATTATCTTCCCACTGAAGTGGTACCTATCTATCTACTTGCATTTGCATACTTTCAAAATACTAGGGCTGCAGTGTGCAGTTCCTGCGGCCCCAATCTGGCGAGCAAATTGGCGGTGCAGAGCCGCTCCTTTGGGGCAGTCTGTTTCGCTCCTAGGTTTGGAGTAGGGGACTTAAAAAAATTCTTCCCTAAAATCTAGTTGGCCTTCTGTACCATAGCCATGGTTTCTTTATCCACAGATTCAACCAACCATCCACAGCTTAAAAATATTCTCTCTCTCTCTCTCTTTCTCTGTATGCTAAAAAGCAAAGCCAGATTTTGCCATTATATATAAAGAACACCATTTTACTGCCCCATTGTATGCAATGGGACTTGAGCATCCATATATTTTGTTTTCCATGGTATGTCCTGGAACTAAACCCTAGCGGATACCAAGGGCCCACTTTATTTGCACATTAATTTGTATGTTTCACTGTCTAGGTGTCGAAAATAGTATGCATATTTGGCTTACTACGGCAGCAGGGAAAGAAATGATGGAGATTCAACATTTATCTTCTTTGTATATCAGACATTTTGCATTAGTAACTCTGCTTTTGTGCATCTTTGCAATATGACTAGAAATGTTTATGTTCCGGAGAAGTTATCTGCCAAAGTATGTTGGTTCAAGTCATTTTGATAGCGCATCTTACTCTTTAACCTGCATGCAGTTCCCCACAGATCTGAACCATCTAAAGATATGGTAAGGGGACATTGTTTACTTCTCCATGTAATGAATGAACAAAACTGGACCTGGAACCATGAAAACATTACTTGAAACTCCCATGAAACATTACTTGCTGCTGTTGAGTCCATTCATTTTAATAAGTGTTTTTCAGTTAATTATAGCCGGTTTCACTACTTTCTCAGTAGAGAGCCATGGAGGCCTATTTCAAAAGGTTTTACTTTGGTCTTGTGGATTCCTAGCCAATTTGGGAGAAGACTAAAAAGGTATAAACAGGTATATTTTGACTCTATTTTGTCATATAGCAAAAACTTCCTGTACAAGTAGCAATATTGTGTTTACATTGTTTCTCTGTGCTATTAGCAGCCCTGTGTGGTATGTAAACACTAAAAGTGTGGAATGTATATTTTTGCATAAATAACTGTCTTGACAAAAAAAATTTTTTTTTGAAATCACTGCACTTGCTTTTTTGTTTCCCTTGATACCTGCATCCTGTTTTTCTTTTTTAAATTTCCACTCTAAAGCTGCTGCCAATATTATGCTATCTTCCCTTTTTCTAGAGACTGCATTAAGAATTAATAGAAACTTTAAAAAAGCCTTTATGTGTAAGCACAGCAAAACAACATGTGACTGTTTAAAGTTCAACAGAGAGATGGAAAGATAGGAGAGTGTTATATATCAGCCAGCTTGCCTTGTTAAGTAATGCAGCAAGACAATCTTGTTGACATAACAACGCTTGCCTAGCTTCCCATCTTTTGTCTTGTTAAGTAATACAATAAATTGACTCTACACCAAAATCTAGCATTTAATTTTCTAGCACTGTGCTAACCACTCACATATGACCCTGAAAAAACATGGTGTTATCTTTTTGCACAATCATGAACTTGAGTGGCTCTTTATTAAAAACATTTCTCAGTAGCTGGCTCTCTGTTTGCCAATATATCCTATATTTAGGACCACTTTTGCTGTAAGATACTTAACAGTGTAATACAAGAATAGGCACAGTGCAGCCCCTCCTCAGTCATTTATTACATCCCTTGACCTACACTGTCCTCTTTCTGTGTACCCATAAGGTTAAAATGCTTCTCCTAGAACATTGATGGCAAACCTTGTAGGCACCAAGTGTCCAAACTAAATGGCCTTCCGGTATCAAGTGTTACTCCATGCTGGAGGCTGGGCTTTTAGGGGAACAGGACTTCCAGGCTGGGAAGTGGTACTTCTTCCCCCCCACCTTTCTGGGATGACCAGAAGGAGGAGGAACAGGTATGCACCTTTTCCTCCTCTTTCCTGCTCCACATGCCAGAGAAAATGGCTTCGCATGCCATCTCTGGCACATGTGCCATAGGTTTGCCAACATGGTCCAAGAAGCATGCAGATGTCAGGAGAATGGCCAGTGGGGTGCAGGGAGTTCAGACCACACCAGGTGACACCCTAAGGTGGGGTTGACACCACTGGTCTCCAAACATCTGCCTTTTGACAGGAACAAGTTGTGGCTTTCATCTGCACTCCTTTAAAACACTGGAGGTCAGTGGAAGAGATGGTGTGAGAGTCAGGCTCAGCTGGAGGAGAAAAGAGAGGTCTCAGGGTTTATTTTTTTTAAA